TCTCTCTCTCTCTCTCTCATCCATTCCTACTTATGGATGATGAGAGTTCCAGTGGTTATGGAAGCCCGGGTGCTCTTGAGCCTCAGGAGCTTACCCCCTCATCAAAGGGAAACCTGTAGGGAAGAGGAGGAACTAGAGACTGGTATTGTCTTCATCATTTTCTATATTTTCCGATTTTGTGAACAAGCATTTATTACTTTGATATTCAGAAAAAAACTAAGTGCATTTTAAGAACAAAACATCTAGACTAGTTGTTTTCAGTCTTTTTTTTTAAGCAGAACTCAGTTCAAATATTAGAGGGAAACAAATAAAACAACGGCTGTTCTGGTAGAAGTGAGATCTGTGTGTATGTGTGTATCTGTGTGTCTGTGTGTTGTGTGTGTGTGTATATGTGTTGTGTGTTTCTGTGTGTCTGTGTATATGTGTGTTGTGTGTGTTGTATTGTGTGTGTTGTGTGTGTGTATATGTATTTGTGTATGTATGTTGTGTGTGTGTGGATGTGTGTGGATGTTGTGTGTGTGTCTGTGTGTTTGTGTGTGTCTGTGTGTGTGTATGGGTGTGTGTTGTGTGTGTATATGTATTTGTGTATGTATGTTGTGTGTGTGGATGTGTGTAGATGTTGTGTGTGTGTGGATATGTGTGGATGTTGTGTGTGTGTCTGTGTTTTTGTCTGTGTCTATGTGTGTGTGTGTGTGTGTGTGTGTGTGTTTGTGTGTGTGTGTAGGGGTACCTCCTGTATTGCTGGATATCCTGATTGTTTTCATCCCCAGAAGGGAATACACAGCTGAACCCTCATTGCCCATCCAGTAGGAAATGGTGTCCCACCCAGAGCTGGCTTCTGCTATGACAGAGTTAATCCTTTTAGCAGGGAGCCTGCTGGTTTGTGTGGCACCATCCATTGTGAGCAGCTGCACTGTTTCAGGGCAGGGACATCCCTTTTGTCTGTCTGTCACAGACTGTACTCTTCACCTGAATCCTCCAGGGACAGTGCCTGCAAGGGCGGGGAGGGGGACAGAGATAACATGTC